ACCCTCCACCCCTTACCCTCTGGTTATCTATTTTTACTTAAGATTTCCCCACTCTGTTTTTCTAAAAGCCTTTCCCCAACTGTGCATGCTTATTGGGAAAGTGACATGAAGTGAGAAAATGATTTGAGGTACTGCCTTGGTCTCCTCTGTGTGTACTGTGTAATTTAGTTCTAAATATAAATAGTTTCCACCTAATTCGACGTGCAGTATAATCACGTTAAGGCAGGACAGTTGTCCAAGAGGCTGGCTGCATCACCCATGGCCCTTAGTATTCAGAGATGCTGCAGTGCAGTCGAGCTTGACAAATTATTTGAGAAGCTTGTTACCCAATGATTTTCCCACCATGTAGTAATTATTCTTGGTCAGACGTAGATGTCCCTGCAGAGTGGAGAAGCCGATGTCAGATGCTTTGCCAAGTTTGGAGAGAAACTGCCTCACAACCTCTTGTTGCTAGCCCTTCCAGAAGGCATTCGTTCCTGTGAAAGGGCCTGGTGTTGAGCTGGTCTTACAACAAAACCTGGCTACCCTGTCACTTGGGAACACTTCTCCTGGAAATAATATTTTTATTGAACACATAGGCATTCTGCTACATCCTCCTACTTTGTTCAGATCTGAAGGTGCAACTGGAGATGAATTTGCTGTCCAGAAACATGAAAGAAGGCGCTGTTATGAATTTGATCAATACTTTGTGATTCTGGTTTCATTTGGGGATGCTAAACACTTGTGCCTTTTAATGGGCTATTTTCTGGTTAGGGACATGACATAAATAACGGGAAAAATAATTTGTGGATAGTTCGAAGACTTTCATAGGATTTTAAAATACAGGGTTTGTGTATTCTCAGAGGGAGGGAATGAAGACAGAGCTTTGGGGGCTATTGAAAGATAGGACGTTTGGAAACAGGCTTTATTTTGCAGGTGCCCGAGGCCCAGGATTGAATGACGAACAAACCACATTGTAGGACATTTAGCAAGCCGGGGGTCACAGATAGAAATGGAAAGGCTGGTGGTGGAATTACCTTTGAGGTTTCCCAAGCGTTTTTCTGGTAAATGTATAAAAGAGGGCACAGCGTCATAAAAACTAGCATGTATTATATGTGCTTATGCACCAAGCACAGTTATATCATTACGGGAACTGACTTATTTGGTTCTCACTGTCTCTCTGGGATGGGGGTTAAGAACCACTGGGATGTATCACAGATACCTCAGACCTAAGTTTGTTTCCAAAACTGAATTCTAGGTTTCATCGTACTCCAATCCATTGCCACCCTTCCACCATCAAGGCCTTCCCTTTCTCATTAAAGTATAATATTTCCAGTCTCTTCAGCTCATGAAGCCAGAACCTGGGTATCAGCGTTGATTCTCCTTTCCTTTCCCTTCCCCTCCAGCACCACATCAAGTTCTGTCAGTTTATACCTCAGAATGTATCCCCCCAGCACCTTAGACCTGGTCACCATCGTCCCCTCGCGAGTGCCCACCACAGGCGTTTCCAGCCGTGCCTGTCTCCCATACATCCTACATCAGCAGGTGCCAGAGAGGCCTGCAGATGTCAGTCATGCTGGTCCCCTGCTTAAACCCACTTAATGGCATTCCAGTGCAATTACATTAATATCACATGCCTTACTGTGGCCTGCATGACCTTCCACAGACATCTCCCATCCCCCTTTCCAGACTCATCTTCTTGAGTTCCAGCTGCACTCACCCCTTTTCTGCGCCTGCAAGTTGACAAATTGCCTGGTAGCCCTGCTCCAGGCCTGCTTGGCTGGCCTTCTCAGCCAGGCCCGTAAGTGTTAGGCTAATGGCAGATGTGTGGAGAGCCTGTGCCTAGTTCCCTAGTTTCCTATACAACTGTGTTTTAACCCCCGTCATTGTCATGTTAACAGAAACTCTAAAGCCTCACAGCAAGGTTTCCTTCCTGCTGGCTTCCCCAGGCCCGTCAGGGTCACAGGGTCTCTGCTCCACACTGATTTCATTCAAGTCCAGGCTGGTGGAGCCCTCACCAGCTGGAATGTCCCTGGTTGTCACTGTAGGAAAACGGAATGAGGCCAACCACACTGGCATAAAGGCTTTCACCTCGAAGGGACCCCTGTCTCCTCCACTCCCATTGCATTGGTGAGACCAAGGCATCAAGAAAGGATTGATCTGGAATGGCAGGCTGCTCAGGATTTTAATTCAGAATTAATGGCCCTAGAACAGGTAGCTTAATACTGCATAAGAGCAAAAGTAAAGGAAAATGTTTCTGCATGCACAAAAATGTTTGATGGCCTGTTATTGCTTTTAAGAATCTAGATATTTTATGCAAAAACATGGTGTCAAAAACACTGTTTTTCTAGCATTTTGTGTGTTAGCCTACTGCTTGTTCCCACAGGATCACTGTAAGCGTGAATGCAGCTGTTTAAAATGAAAAGCAAATATGTGACTATAATCCACATAACTTTAAAAGAAATGTTTACGCTTAGCCTCATGACTTCTAATTTAAAAGATGCGTAGAATGCAGAGGACTCCTTGCAGAATGAGAACTCCTTTTTGATAGAGTTCATTCATCTGTCTGTGCAGCATGGAGCTTTGGGTAATTGGCGTTAGCCTAATGTTTTAATCTTTTGGATGGAGGGAGTGGATACATACATTATCTGTCTTACAAGACATAAAAGTATCCTTCCAAATAGAAAAGCTGCGTTTAAAATAATCCTTAGCCTCTCAGGGCCTTGGGCCATGTAACACAAATTCCTGATTTTCACTGGAGTCCAAAAAACTTCAAACTACCAAAATGTTATTCTAGTACGACCTCACACTGGGACCCTACCTGACTACATCATTTGACATTGCAAGTCAGGCTTCCTTCTGTCTTTATTTTTCTCTTTAACATTTGCCAGCATCTGATGCTCTACACCATTTACTTGTTTATTATTTGTTTCTTCCCAGGAGAATTTAAGCTCCCAGAAAGGAGTGGGGGTGGGGGGCTTTTGTTTGTTTTGTAAACTGGTATATCCACAGCACCAAGTACAATGCATAGTACAATAAATGCATCTAATTCATTAATTAGTAAAACCACTTCACAACTCTTTACTCAGTGCACAGCACTGGGTTTGATATTATGGAATATACTTATGAGAGGTATAAGACATTGTCATGGTCTTGAGATAACAAAACCAATGGCATCGCTATGGAAAAAAAAGATGTGTGCATGTGCCCCATTAGCACAGAACGTCATCGCTCTTTGGTAAATGAGAAGATGATGGTTGGGTGGAGAAGCCAGGCAGGGGCCCTTTTTTTCAGATGCGGTTTAATTCATTTTTCAAGTTTTATAGCATGTTGTTTGATAGTGAAGACCCATTCCACTCTTGTATAATTTTGAGTTAGATGACATTCAAGGCTAGAGTGGTGGAATCAGTGCTGCTCCAAGTCCAAAATCAAGCTTGCCGCCAATGCAGCATCTGAAGCTGGCGTTTTAGCCTTGAGCCAAGTTGGAAGAGCGCTTCATTTGGGCAGATTTGTGACACTTCATCGTGACAGGATTGTAGGTGATGTGGGAGGAACCCCTGCTGGTTTCCTACCCTCACCTCGTGTGTGACTGTTTAAGGCCTTGCGATCATGGTGGCCAGGATTCCCGTTAGTCTGAGCAGGGAGAAATGATTGACAGTACAATATTCTCCCTGTCAGCTAGAGAAAACCTGGGAGGCACCCACGGCAGGGCTCAATGGGTAGATGAGCTTTTAATACCTGAGGGTTAGCCAGTGAGGATATTTAAACACATTTAGTGTTTGTTTTAATATTTGGGTAGC